TAGCAGTTTCCCTGGGGCAGCAGCTAAGTGCTCCTTTGCAGCTGGTGCTCTCAGCTCTCTCTGGGCTAATTCTTAAACATAGGAGTGGGCCCATGGATTAACTGCAGAAATGATCTCAGCTTCATCCCAGACATAACCACCCAGTGAGCCGTCATCCTCCCTTTTATGCAGCTACTGTCTTTTCTCTAACAACGAGTATGGGGGGAAAAACGTCTTATTGTGCTTATTTTATAACATCTAACTGCCCTCTCAGCCATCAGGTACCCCTCTCAACTCCCAGCCACTCAACTTGTGCCTGCAGAATTGTAGCAGTCACTTTGGGCTCTGCAGCTTTGTAGGTCTGACTCCACCACTGCCCAGAAAGAGCTCAGCCAACTATCCCACTCCCTCTTCCTCAGCTCTGGAAGGACAGTTGGTCTATTTTAGAGGGCCCCCCACCCCAAAACAGCCGCCTTTTCCCAGGGCGGCTGGGTGCCCTGGTGAGGAATGCTGACAATCTGCCGCCTGGGAGCAGAGCTGTCAGCGTTACTTCCCTACTGCTGAGCCCTCAGTCATCACTTGCACGAAGGATAAGCATGCAGCCCGCTGCCTTGTGACAAGAGCTGTGACTTTGTTTAGGAGCCAAGCACTAGGAATGAGTACCAGGGAAATGTGGCTTAGTGGAACAGGAAATATTAACGATCCCTGATAAAAATGAAAAAAGCAGCCAGTACACGTCTAACTCAGCAGGAGGCACCACTCTATGATTGGCTAATAGTAGTGACAACCACCAAAAAAGCCTACCAAAAAAAAACCTTTTCCGCTTCAAAGGTGACTTTTAGAAGAACAGAGTAATTTTTCTCATGCTCATCTGTGTACAAGAAAAGCCCCTAAGCAAAGTCATCTGCATATTGCAGTAACTGCTGGCACAGGAAAGGGCATGGAGGAGTTTTCAGCTTCACAGAGATTTTAAGGAGCTATTGCAAAAGCCCAGATAGACTCACATGGTTCCATCACTCTCCAGTAGTGGGTTAGACTAGGCTGGTTTTCGATGAGCTACCACAGCTTTGTGCATCAATTTTTTTTTCTGGTAAAAAACCCCCATGTGATTGCGATAAATGTTTCTAGCTAAATGGACTTCTCTCAAAACTCCTTATGTCTGAATGAAATGGTCAAGTGATAGTGTAATGGTAGAGAGAAGAAAATTATCCCCCTTTTTTTTAGTTCCTTTGTATGTTTTAGTTAAGGCAGTTAGCAGGCTGGAAAAACTGCATTAACACCAGATTCATATCTATACAGTCCTTTCAAGTTGTTATGAGGCTGATAACCTCTGTCCTTGTAATCCACAGTAAATAGAGGAGCTTAATCGCTCCAGAAATGGGTAACAACGCACAGATCTCTTCAGCTCCTAGCACGTTGTTTGCATAATGCCTAGTGCTGGGAATAACCGGAAACTTATTTAATAATCTGAAGTCATCCAAAGACTCTGCTAAATCTCACGTGAAACCAAAGTGTTTTGTCTTGCTCTTATCTCCGCTGAGCAAGTAGCTGCACCACAATGATTTTTTTTTAAGGCTGGAACTTACCTGGCAGGACAGTCACTCATTTGGGTCTCCATCCAAGGACCTGGGGCACCGGCGGGGGCCTTGCACACTGTATTTGCAGTTGGCTCTAAGGCCCCCACCAAGCAGAGAAAATGAAGTAGCCTCTGCTGCGAGAGGCTGTTTCTCACGCAGGGACAGGGACCTTGCCCCTGGATGGAACTCTGCTCTCCGTCTCCCAAGGCATGACCTTGGGCAGGCGGCATGGGCTCTCCTGTCCCAAGTTTCCTCTTCTCCAGAACAGAGATATGATATACAAGTGGGCTGAGAGCCTTGCAGAGAGGTGCTATCGCCAGTACAGGGAGTTATCATCCCCAGGCCCAGGTCCAAAGCACACAGCAACACGACGGAGAGCCGTTCCCTCAAAGGACCCTGGCTCTGGAACCCAAGCCAAGAACAGGCTGCATTTATTCTCCAAGGGAGTTGCAGGCTCACTGCTGTTACTACACGCCATACTTTTACCTTTGTAAATGGCAGAAGGTGCAAAAGATGCCAAACACTGAGTAACAAAACCCCCAAAAAATTACAGTTAATGAAATAACCTCCTCCTAAACAGTATATGACCCAATTCTCCTGCAAGTTATAATCAAAACCATATGTACAGTCATAAATATCAGAAATGTTTACAAAACACTGACAAGATCTTAAAAACAAAAGCAGTGATTTCCCCATCTTGCTGGAAGCCTTACAAAACATGGGGTAGATTGTCTCGTTTAAAATATTCTGCTTACCACAGAGCTTCAGTGTAATTGTTAGTCATTCTATATGTATTTACTGGTTCAGTTAATCTGCTATAGCTGGTTACAAACTACTGCAAGACAAAGATTATGAAGTAGGGTCAATAAAAATTTTGTTTATGTGAAATCCACTGTTGTCATAGCACAATTTTACACAAAAGTTAAATCAGGCTCCCATCCAAACAACCACTTCCCCAGCACTGATGGCTGGCATCTCTAGAGACATCGAGCAGAATTACTTGGAAGGGCTGTAAATCTGGCCAAATTCAAGTGGTTGCGATTAGTCTATACTGGGGTAAATGCCTCTGCTTTGATGTTTTTCTAAAAACCTAAACCAAAAAACCCATCAAACACTGAAGCACAGAAACTTCAACGCTGGCTTTGCCTACAAAGGCTCTTAAGGAAAACTTGTAGGTGCTGCGAACAGAGCAGCTCTGTTGACACAGAGCATGAGCTTCTCGGGGGTGCCAGCTACCAGTGCGACCTCACCTCTCAGTGCCCGGGAGCTGATGCCCCTTTCCTTGTAAATTCAGTGTACACCATTAGGCCAACACCCCACAAGTAACCGAACCCCATCGTGAGGTCCCAAGCAGCTCCCTGGGCACCCTGAGGGTGTGTGCAGTTGTTAGCAGGAGTGCAGTCACTGGATTTTGCTCCGCCTGCCTTCAGCACAGAAGGCACGAAGCAGCGCTGCGAGTCGCGGGTAACAACTGTGCAACGTTTCCAGGGTCTGTACCTCACATTTCAAAAATCTTCCAGTGGAAAGATAGAAAAAACATTATTGCAAACACCCATAATACTGTCTATAACTTTATAAATTCAAAATAAGCTGCTTTTTTTTTTTTAAAAAAAAAAAAAAAAAAAAAGACATAAGCTGACAGCCTTCACAACAGTTGATTTAAAAACAAACAAAAAAAAAAGGGTATGTGAGGAAAGTAATTTAAGCACTTTCTGGGAAGGACTGAGATGTTCCTGCTTAGAAACAGATAGTCAAAGTAGTAAAGGCTTTGGTTTAGCTCTGGTTTAGGTTTTATTACAAAGAAAATTGTTCTGTTTTAGCTGTTCTGTGAATTCAATGAAATTGCAAGAAACCATTCTAGATTTTGTTTCAGAGGAGAAAGACGACATTTAGATTGCTCTCCTCTCGTAGTTTATTTTGCTCAGAAAACATAGGCATTATTCCATCTTCTTATTCCTCTCTCCCTCATTTCACTGGAAAAGATGAAACACCAGAATATCAGTTTTAGCCTAATCACACACCATCACTACTGGCACAGATTATGGGCAAAGCTCTTGCTTCTGGGGTTTCGTTCCTGGGTTTTCTAAACAGAAAACAAGAGAAGCAGCCACCATTTTTGCAAAAGGTCAAAATCTGTCTTAGTCTGGAAAAACTCCTGTTGATTTCAATGGATTTTAAATTGGGCCCAGATTTTATCTGTACATCACATTGATCCCCAAGTTTCAGCATTCTTCCTATCCTACTTCAGATCAGAGAACACTTTTGAGAAAACCCTATTAAGACAATAATCCCCACTAGGAAAATAATGGCTTCGTTTCTAGGACCATTTCATATGTATCGTGAGTATGTGAGCGGCCTTATTTTATACCCTCTTAGTCAAAACTTAAAGCAGAGAAACACATTTTTTATGTACCTTTATAAAGATATCACCATTGGATGCAGGAGCAGAAACAACCACAAATTATTAAATTCTTATTCTACTATATGTATGCCCTCACAGAGATGCTTATTTATCACTGTTATTAAAAGCTCGTAAGGGACATCTCTAAAAGCTGTAACTAATAGTGAGCCCTTGAATAGACAATAAATCCTCAGATGCTTAATAGGCTTTTCAAAGCTGCCAAGCACCAGCGCTGGGAAGAGGTCAGCTTTTAATATTAGATACACAAACAATGGCTTAAGTTCAAATGCCTACATTTTGGATGTTTGCTATTGAAAAGGGAACTTGTACTTGTTACAGCAATAGCCTTCTTACGGAAGAGGTTACTGACATCTCTCCAGTGAAGGCAAACAGCACCAATAAGTCTAGGTCAATGAATACTGCGCCATTACGGTTAATACACTTTTGGAAGGTGCTTAAAAACTATGACCTGTTGCAATACAAATACACCTCAGGGGAGTTCAAGGCATCCGAATGGCTGCAGTTCTGCGGACACCCCAGAGCACCAGAAGTCATCAGACATTTTTCTTGTCGTACCTCATTTCTTCTCCCACGAAGCTACAAGAGAAACGGGTCGGAGGATACGCCGAATGATGGAAGTGCTCTGCCTGGACTATGTTCAGGTTACTTGAAATTCAATCACAGTGCTTCAGATAGATAAAAAAAAAGAGCAACAAGGCACATTTAATGCTTCACTTTAGACTCCTAACATCACAGAGAGTGAGGCGTTCATGGGTAAAGATGATAAGCCTGAAATCTGTGTCCCAAAGATCTGCTGTACATGGACCGTGACGCAAAGCAGAGTATTAATGAAATTAGTAGGACTCTGTGTGGGTGCTCACACATCACACACAGCAAGAAGCAAAACGGAGGACTCTGATCCTCATAATTGTGCTACGTGTAAAGATTAATTGGAGCACCTAAGTGGGTCTTTCCTTGGGAAGGTATCTATACAGGTTCAAAGCGTTCCTCTCAGGCCTTTAGATTGAGCTTCAGACATTGGAAAAGCTTAGATCAGGCTTTAATCAGATAGCCCATCAAACAACCATTCCTCCAACATATCAAGAGCTCTTTCAATAGATACCTCTTTATTTGAAATGGAATGCATCTTGAAAAATATGAAAAATAAATCACATCTCTCAGAAATCATTTATGAGTCATATTTACACACAATTTTTTTTTGACGACACTGATATTTCTGCTCACAATAGGATATGCTAGAAAACATTTGGTACATCACTGCAGCTATAATTCAGAAGCTGGTATTTGCATATCATGAACCTTAAAAAATGAGGAATTATTTCAGGATTTCAGAGACAACATCCACTTGATGTTCCTTTTCCTACAATTTCTAAATTTTACGGGTCACCACAGCTTTTATTTTCTTGTCGAATCTGTCCCTTAATCACTTTTTTTTTTAAGACATGTAATTTTGACTTCTCTACAAACTGACTGTCCACACTTTTGCTACCTATACCAAGTATTTGTCTGTATGTGTTTTAATGGCATTTTTGTTTATTCTCTAATGATTTTGTTTCAGCCACATGCTGTTGGCTTTTTTTTTTTTTTTTTAAGGGGAAGGACAACCTCATTTCTTTACCTGCAAAGCTGCAGTAAGATCGAACATGATCTGCTGGCCCTATTTTCATAGCCATTGCTTACAAGGCAGTGACAGACAGTATTTAACGAAGTAGCTCCAATGAAGGCTATGCAGTAGTAGAGGGTCAAGCCAAAAAAAGCTCTGAACTACCTCATTTATAACAGCAAATAATTTCTTGGTCTAAAATTACTATAAAAAAAAAAATGGAATTTAAAGCGTGAGAAAGTTGTTGGATTGTCCACATCAGACAATTTAGCCTTATTCATACTGACATGGCATGAGCCACACGGTCCCACTGTCCCCAGGGGTCCCCAGCCAATTTGTTCCCATTCAGCTTCCAGGAGACAGTCTGGAGGCGCAAGGGAGAGGTTTGATCCTTACACCCATCCCACCAGCTCAGGCTGCAGGCACAGCAACAGCTCAATGTGGATTTTGTGACGTGCCCATCTCTCACACAAAGAGTGTGGCCAACACCGACGCTTTTAAAAAGGTAACACGGCAGGCAGTAACAACCCGCAAAAGTCTGTTGGTGAACTACATCAGTCCAAACGGTTTTGAGAGCATCCTTCAGACCAACTTAAAATGAGAAACATAAGATAAAAGATGGACGTTAACCTTGAACCAGTGAAAGAGAGCAACAAATTCAAAATAAAAGCCGTTTTCTCAAACCTTAATGGCAATTACATCACTAAAATTGTCATCTTTCATTTTTGGAGTACAAATACTTCTGGAAGAGCAGCACTATTTTAGCTTTGGACTAGATCCATAGACTTTTGTGGCATTCAGGGGTTTGCATTGACTGAGGACAGGATTAGCCGCCTCTCCTAGAGAAATACACATGTCTCTGACCACATAGGAATTAATTTTCATCAATTACATTTATCCTTCAGTAGGCTAGAACATATTTTAGTAGGTGAGATATCAGCGATATGTCTGTATATCTGAAAAGGTGGATTAGTTACTCAGTAAACTGTAATTAATGACTCTAAAGAGAGGAGCCAAATTACAAATTACAGTCTATTTTGTCTTTGACTAGCTCATTAGAGAATCCCCTCGCAGCTCTAACATCCAAGCGTTAGCAGAATGATAATGGCAGATGTACAGAAATGTGGAAATTAGCTATTATGATTGCCAAGACAGCGAATCTAATCCTAGAAGATGCAGGGCACCTTCGATTTCAATTAGTCTCAAAGTAATAACTTTGTCGGGACAGCTGGAATCTACCACCCCAAGCTCATCACGCAACCTTGTCAAGGGCCAGGATGGGAAAGATGTGCTCAGGAGTAGCCACAGAGGACTGCCGAGATCCAGGCTTTAATTCTGCACCATGACGTGTTTTGCACATCTAGGTGTGTCACCCTGACCCCTGGGGGCAAGGAACAAAAGAGGAGGGCTAAAAGAGGTCTCAACTTATTCCTTGGAGGGCTGAGCTTAAGCTTAGCGTGCAGAGGAAGGGACCAGCATGTGCAGTGGCCAATTCCGAGATCTTCCTTTGAGTGTCACTTCACTCGTTTGCTTTAGACACTTACAGAAGCAGCTTGAACCAAGAATGTGGGGCTTTTACAGTCAAGCTACACCTTCAGTTACACAAACATAAAGTCCTGGATGTGTGGCTTTAGAAGGTCTTGTTTACATTTATGTAACTTGTAAAGGGGTTAAAAGCCGTTTTCCTCACCACGCTAGTTCAAACAAATAGCTCCACGGCTGCGACTTTTTACCTCCAACTCAAGATAACGGGCCACATCAGCCTGCTTACAACCTCCCCACTTAATTTAAAGGGGAGAACGCGGGCCGTAGCAGCACGCACCGGGCAGTCACCCGTCGCCTAAAGGGCCCTGTCCTAGAAAGCACACAGGGCTGTGCCCAGCTCCCTCCTCGGCACCGGGGCGAGCTGCTTCACCCCACTCTCACCAGCATCCACGGCCAAACTCCCACTGCCTCCCGAGAGACAGAGGAAGACACACCAGCTGTGCAATTAGCCCTTTGTTTTCCAACTTCACAGCTTCGCCAACGGTTGAAAGGCGAGATCGCGCGCCCCTCTCAACATCTGACAGTGCTAAACACCAAAATTAATCTAGTTTATCTCAGCTAGAGAGCAACTTTCAGCTTATGAAAACTGTGACCAAAGTAATCCGTTTGCACGCTAAGACATACATAAAATGGATTTAAAACTAGGGGCTACTTTAATGCAAGACATTTGAAAACCGCCACAAAAATTCAACACAGGTCGAGAGCCCAGACTGCTTACAAACCCACTGTGCAGAGGGAGCCCTGAACTTGGACACTAAGAAACGTTCATAAGCGCTTCTCAGCTCCAGCCCAGGAGCAGGCACATCAAACCAGTAACTGGAATCCAACTGCAATTCCTCTATCGCAAAAGAAGTTGGTCAGGTTCCCCTCCGCTCATACCTTACATAGATCGGTTTTAGTCTCAGAATGACAATCAGTGTTATTTTTTGGAATAACCAAGCATGAATAAATTTTATCATCTTCTACCACATATAACAGGTTTTTTTAAAAAGACTCAAAACAAAACAAAACAAACAAACAAAAAAAAAAACCACCACTGAAAACCCAGACAGTAATTACTATTCTCATTAGAGAGAATAGTTTTCATATGCAGTATGGGTTTCAGCCAAATTCCAAACCACACATCACATTTTCCGTGTTAGCATAATACAGGGTATTTCGGGTAAAAATGAAAAACTCTTTTGTCAAATTGCACATCGGCCAAACTACCTAGAACTTTTTAGTTCCTTTAGGGAGCTAACGTATATATTTTTTCCCTCTGCCTTTTGGATACAGCCTACATTCAGAAATGTCTTGCAAAGAGCCTTTAAGAAACAAAAAACAAACAAACAAAATTTTTTTTAAAAAACAACCCTAATAAATAAAATAAAATACATTAAAATAAAGTTACAGTACATCATGTCTCCTAGAAGTCCCGCCACACCAAAGGATCTTTTCCACGGTTCATAAATAATAGATTTGAAATGCTTCTCGGCACCGAGGGCGGCGAAGCGGCGGCACCAGCAGCAGCAGCAGCAGCAGCAGCAGCAGCAGCAGCAGCAGCAGCGCCCTGGGGTTCGGGCTGAGCCGCTGCTCTCCAGCCCACCCGCACCTCCGGCTCTTTGCCCAGTTTTTGACCAACCGAAGTCCGCCCGCGACGAAACGCCCTCGGTCCCGCTTCCCCGAAACGCTGCGTGAACTTCACCTGCAACGAGACAGCAACAGCCCGGAGGGGCGAGAGGGTGAGTCCCGAGGAGCGGAGCCGGGCGCTGCCTCTCCCCCGGCCCGGGGCGGGGCGGGCGGAGCCGGGCAGGGGGGGGAGCGCGGTTCGGCCGCCCCGGGGGCCGGGACACCCGGAGCGGGTCCCGGGGGGCCCTACCTGTGCTAGGCGGAGTTGGAGGCGCTGCGGAGCCGCGGGCCGTGGGGCTGCGCCAAGTGCTGCTGCTTCTGGCGGGTGGAGCGGACGGCCAGGATGGCCTGGCGGTTCTTGTACTGCACCATCTGCAGCGTGATCGCCGCGTTCCAGCCCTGCTCCTGCGCGCACCGAAAGTCGATCTCCTTCCCCTCGGCCATCACCACCGTGAAGTACACGTACTTGCCCTTCCGCTCCACGCAGTCCACCGTCTTCATGTTGGAGAAGTGAAGCTCCTTGATCTTGGCCGCCGGCTCGGCCGGTAGCGGCGGCGGCTGCTGCGGCGGCGGCGGCTGCTTGGGGGGGATGAGGAGCAGCCCCTCCTCGGTGAGGATGCAGCGCTTCTTCTTCCAGAGCTGCAGGAGCCCGTCGCTCCTCTTCTCCAGCACGCCCTCCTTCACCGCCTTGCAGCCGCTCTCCAACATCCTCCTCGCATGGGCTGGCGGGGCCGGGAGCCTCCGCCCGCAGGGGCTGGGGTCGGGGGGCAGCCGGCACCACCCCAAAACTCGCCGCCCGGCTCCGGCTCCGGCTGCGAGGCGGAGGGCCGGGAGCGCCCCGGCCCGCGGGAAGCGGAGCGGCTGCCGCCCGTGCCGCGGCGTGGCGTGGCGTGGGGTGGCGGGGCTGCGGCGGGCGGGCGGGCGGCTCTGCCGGAGGCTTTGCCCTCCCCTCCGCCTTTTGAAGGCGCCTTTCCCGGCCCAGAGTGACACCCAGCGGCTCCTCCCGCCGGCAGCCGCGAAGCCCGGCAGCCGCGGAGCGGTGCGGAGCGGTGCGGAGCGGCGCGGAGAGGCGCGGAGCGGCTGCCCCGCCCGGCCCGGCCCGGCCCGCCGAGCTGGGGGGAGGGGGGAAAGGGGGAGAGTCCCCTCCTCCTAAGGAGGGCACAGCCAGACCGCGGAAGGGTTTCCCCGCCGCCTTTGCTAATTGTTCATTGAACAACTGAAACGCGCATTTGCTTTCACCGGGGTAGCGCAGCAATATTTGGTTTGGAGCAAGTTTACTCAGACTTCCCCCACCCCCCCGCGGGGAACAGCCGCTTTCCAACCCCTATACCCCCCCCCCCCCCCCCCCCCCCCAAATGTGTGCGGTTTTGATCCAAGTCCCGTGAAAGCGGTGCCAGTTTTCAGCAACACCCTGGTACTTAAACGATCATCGCTCTGTTAAACAAAGGAGAGAGCCTGACACACACAACCTCCTCCAACAGCTTTGTCCCTACGCTTTCGCATTGCCCTTGACTGTGCAGGGGAGAAGCAGCTTCTGATAAATATATAAAATACTTATTTACTCTCTGCAGCAGAGTCTAAAGAAAACAAGTATTTGTATCGCTTCCCAAAGTAAACACTAGAACCTCAGTACTTGGAAATTTTTAGAAGTAGACTAGAAATACAAAAATACAAAAAAAAAAAAACCCAAAACCCACAACCCACCACAGAACCAAACTGGCAAAGAGCTAGGACCATTTTTCTTGTTATTCTGCCTTGTTGCCACACATTTGCTTATCGTTTGGATTCTCAGCTTTTAGACTGAGTAGAAAAGTAAAGTGACCTTAACCTTAAGTCTTTTGATGTATCAAACGTAAATTAAAACCCACAGAACTGCATTTGGCTGACAAGGCCAGTGCAGACTGAAGGCTGGAAGTTCCATACTATGTTTGAGAGCACGTTTTTTTTCAAACTTGCATTTAAGCATGGCCATAAAAACAAACCCCTCCTCACAGTAATCTTGGCAGCTAGGAAGCACATCATGCTGTAGCACAGGTCAGTGGGACACATTAGGAGAAAAGTATCAATATTAATGATAGCTTTAATGGAGTTTATCTCTGATAATATTTTTTAAAAAATGATTTCCTCTTATAATATTTTCCTCTTGAAGTTCAAAGTTAATTTTGATAAATTGTTGAGAGGTAAACAATTAAGGTAATAACAGCAATTAAAATTATTTAGCTGTTTTACCTTTCCTGAGGTAACTGGAAGACACTCAAATCAGTAACAAAGGCAACCTGCTAGCTACAAACTGAGCAAAAAAAAAAATAAATTAATATGTTAAACATCAGTTTATATAAAAATAGTCCCTCCTCCTTAGAGCCTAATAGGTATGCTGTAAGACACAGTTCATTCTCACAACTATCTTAGGCCTATTTTAAGAGGCACACTCTAATTTTCAAAAGATCTGACCACCATTCACGTCTCAATCTGCCATTTATTGCCATTTGAACCCAAATTCCCCAGAGCGAGCATCTGCATCTTCAGCTGCTGATGCACGGACAAGCAGCCTCCACACACGGCTCGAGCGAGGCAAGAGATTCTCCTGCCTTTTCACCTCATGCATTTCGCATCTACTTTCTCACTCCTGATGAAGCGTGCCACATGAGCAGAGACTTATTTTTGAAATTCTCAAACTAAACCCTAAACTGGTTACAAAGCATTCATCTATACCAATCAACTTAATTAAAATACTGAGTTCATGTAAGGCATAGGACACTGAACTACACCTACAGAGGACTCGGGTTTACCTGGTTCAGTGCTGGTTGCTCCTCCACTGCTGGAAGTGAACAGCCATTTTCTTCCCAGTAAACACACTAACCAGCAGTATGGAAACCACCCTTCGAATTCCGAGTCCCATGTGTCATTCTGTAACAAATGTTCAAGAACTTTCCCCGCCCCCGGAACACTGAACTGTAACATTTAAGGGCATCGACACATAATCTGTATTTATATATTTTAATGTGAGGTTTTTTTCTTGTTTGAACTGCTAATAGCAATTTGTAATTCAAATGAAAAAAAGTGAGACTAGTGTGGAGGGCCAAAGATTTTCATCACATACACAGGAGAAAGGGACTAAATTGATTCTGCTTTGGCCTTCTGTGGCATAAAGTTCTCCAAAGCGTTGAATGTCAGATTTTTAACCCAGCTCTAAACACTGATGGACATACTCTGCTAATGTATAGACTCAGAACAACTGTTTATTCCTGGTGAAATTCACCTGAGCACGTGATCAGAAGTAAACATGCAAAACATCCATTTAAACTTGTACTCTGTAAGCCAACAACGATTAACAGCCATTTAAAATACACTACACATTTGACCAAAACCACCAGACGAATCAAAAGCCAAGAGACTAGGTTAGGATGAATTACTGACAGTTTCATGATATAAGAACAAGATAACACAATTTAATTGTGCAGAATTTGCCAGTAAATGATAACAAACTTCATTTTCCTATATGGAAGTCAAAACTGAACTTTCTGAAATATTTCTTACATTAGTATTTTGAAAAATCACATTCAACACAATTAAGCACACTACATTATCTCACTGAGATTTTACTTTACTTTAAATATATATTTAAACCACTGCAATTATATGTTCCATGTTCCCTACCTTTATTGAAGTTTCACTAAATATGATGCAGGTGCTGCATCCATTCCTCCTGAAATAGCTGATGTGCAGACGCCTCCTACTGTCAAACCTGAAATACTACAATCTGAAAAAACCACAACGATCCTCAAAAGTCTCTACATTTAAGATACATTTATTCCTTATTGAATTTTTCCTTTTCCACATTCAAGGTTTACACTGACAACAGAGATGTTTGGATGCTAAATACACTGGTCTTCTATATCATAAGCTCCCTAACTTAGACTCAGGTAGCTGAAATTTTGTACATGTAACCTTAATTAAAGAGCAATTATGGTAAGACTAATTAGCGTTCTTTTAAAACCCTGAGGCAAGTTAAACATTGTTTTGGGAAGCCACCACGAAAGACTAAAAAGCCCATAATTTTACTAGTGTCCCTAAAAAGCCCATAATTTTACTAGTGTCCTCCTGGGTAATGAACCTGCAGACAGCAGCTTGACACCAACTATCAACTATTAGTTTCAAGTGGATGCTAAAGCTATCCCGAGTGACAACCCTGAAGCACCATAATTTCTTCCATTACTCAGAAGTGGCTAGAACAGAGAAAGGGCTAAACAGGGAAACAAAGGAAATAGGAGCTGATCATTGCTAGACAGATAGAAAACAAAGGGGAGAAAGTATTCAAGGGTTGAGAAATACATGACAAATAGGTGTTGCAATATGCAATCAGACAGTAAGTCGTTACTTCTTAAAGTATTTTCTTGACCTTTACAGTCTCCCAGTAATTTCACTGGAACTTGCTGCTGACCAAACACTGAAGCACTGATCTGGGGGGCAGAGCCTTCCTTTTATGAGCTCCATCTCACAAATAGCTGTATATACCCCACAGTAAACCAGGCATAAATAAATGAAAAGTTTACGGTAACTATCAGCCACACTGCCCCAGGCCTTTGCCTTCCCTATAACCCATGGCAGTACCAAACAAAGAAACTGTGTGCAATTCACAGACCAGTGGCATTGCAGCTGCTCCAGCCTGGCTTTTCCAAAGTCCCTTGCACTTCAGAGACAGCTGTCTTCCAAAAATATTAAAAAGCACTTAAGCACACATCGTAGAGCAAAGCCAGCCTACAAGAGGGTTTAAGTGTCTCTCAGATTTACCACCAGAGTAAAACACGCTGTGTGTTCAGAACATACTGACTGCTGTTTATCAACTGCAGGGTAAGCATAAGTTTGGGCAGATACTCACAAAACTTGAGCATACAGAAGCAAAGCTCAACAGCTAAGCTCAGGAGCTAGGTCCCCTCTGGAGCTGCAGAGACAACTTTTCTTGTCAACTCAGCACACTTCAGTTCAATACCTGTGAAAACAAGAGCGCTTCCTGCCATAACCCCACACTCGTGCACCCACCCCTGGTATACACCAAGCAGACCCAAATGTGGACTTGATTATCTTTTGCTTGGTGTGCTCTATCTTGTCTGCTTTACTTGCTCTAATTTTCCTACAAAAGCTGAGCCACAGGCCACGTGTGGAAGACTAGCAGGTCCAAGCAGAGGTCTAACTCGATGACTTAAAGAGCGATGAGACAAGCCCTGTACAACATGCCATCTGGACAAACTTCCAACTCCTCTTGATAGTTTACAGAAGACTTATTATTTCCAGTAGATGGATTTATGTTCACCTGAGGTAATTCTCAGCAATTAAAAGTCATTACTTTAACACCCTCTTGAAAATTTGCAGGGAACCAGTGCATCTCAAACAGAACCAAGCAGTTAAGAAATGAAACCCAGTGTGGTAGCAATGACCTCTCTGACCCATACAATAAAGCCTTGGACTGGAGGAGACTACATCTACAGAATGAAGGAGGAAGCACTGCAGAGCCGAGTCCACCTATTCCAACAGCAGTGTGGCTCTACCAGACACCTTTGTAAATAGGAAAAATCTGACAGACATACACAAACAGATGATTAGTTTAAGTTTCCTATTGACTTCTGAATCCGGTCTACAACAATGCACCTTAAAACACAGGGAAAGTTTAAGTACCAGTTTGAAGACAAAGATGAGAACACTCAATACCTGCAGTTTTCTATATTCTGTTGTGTTTTCATTTAGCAAATAAAAATATGTCAAAGTTAGAATAACTGCTACATACTTGGAAACATCGGTTTCAATTCAACTAAGAATCTGGGCTTATGAAGCTAGTTGGCTGTAGAAGACATAGGTAAGAAGTGTTGCTATGCCTAGTATTTAAATAACCCAAGGTAACATTTCTAACTGCACCTGACATCACCCTTCTCCAGAAAGTAAAACCTAAGAATGTTAAAGTTAAATCTGGTCTACTACTTTATTTTAGGATGCTGTACTTTTTTTTATTATTTTTTATTTATTTACCATTAGCAGTAATAGCAGACAGGAAAACTCTAGTGCTAATGTACTCTAATCTGCATTTGCTGAAGGTGTAGAATTACCAAGAAGCATCCCTCTCCACCAAGAATAAGCTCTTAGTGCCCTTCCCTCTCATCCAGTCTCAGTTAATTTCCCTACCTCTTTCCTCACCAAACCCCCGTTTTTTCCCTAAAATAATTCTCCCTTCAATACAGCAACCAAAACTGGATACAGTACATCTTTTACACAGATCTCAAATTTTGGTGCAGTACTGCAACAACTGACCAAGAAATCCTATTTTAGTGAGACATCTTCCTAAACTGAACTTGTTAACAAGGTAACTTATCTTCCTCAAATACTAAATGAACGGTTTTCTCTACAGCTGGTATAAACCCATGAGAAGTGAAAAGAATGAAGCACAATACTCCAATCAGTGTTGAAAGTTTAATGTTCCTGCTACATACTGCCTTTCAGAATCGCTAAACATGAGTGCTGTTGATCACAAAACTACGTTAAGCACCAAAACAGTTTTTATTTAACAGATGCCGTAAGAGCTGGCACCTCAATTTGTACGATTATATCCTTCCTTTTGCTACAGTCTGGAGAGCACGAGAGCTGCTGATTTAGAACTTGCAAGTCAATCTAGAGAAGCTTACCAAAATCTGTTGACAGAGATGGATTCCTGGCTCTGGATCTTGCAGGCTGCAGGTAAGCTTTGACATCTACCAACTCCTCTTTTCAAATATCATATCCCATTGTACGATATTAAGATATTAACAAGAAAGCAGTCAAAAAACACAAGCCCAATTTCTTAAGAACAGCGACTTTTGAAATTCATTGGGCAACTTTTAATGGTGCTTTCTCTTTTTAAGACACAGTTGCCAGATGCTGTTAGTAAAAACAGGCTAGATCTAAGTAAGGACTTCAGATACTTTTCATGTCCAAAAGCATGAATCCCAAAGCCCCATATTAATGGCTGCTCAAGCTCATAGCATACCATCAGTTTGGTCTCCACATGCCCTGAAGTTCAAGTTTAAACTTAATTCTGGGAGACATTCAGAGAAGAGACCAAATGATACCCAAACACCCGGCAGGATCAATGCCTTAAAGGATAAGCATATTCTGTCAGGATTGGTGTCATCACAAGAACACAACCACATCCACTTTAACACACAGCTAGCAGAGAATGTGATGTTAACTTTTCATTACCGTATTTGTCTATGCTGTGATCTATGGGTTACCTAAAAAACACTTAATTCAGTAGAGTAGAGCTTCAAACAGTACTGGTTTATATACAGTTATCGATAACAAGAGCTCCTTCTCCCAGATCCATGAATATCTGGATAGGGATTCTGAAATGAAGTAGTGTGGTATTTAAGCCTTCAAGGAATAAAAAAATAAATTTAAATTGATTTTTTTTTTTTGTCAGAGTACACTAGACCTTCGGGAGCTGAGGATTCAGAAGGGCACTTGGGATAATCTTCATTCTGCATTACTTACCTCCCCTCCCAGCAAGAGGCATCCTAGAGAAACTCCTCCACCAGCCCTATCCTCATGTGGCTTTGCCTCCTGCTTGCCCTGCTCTTTTCAAACCTTTATGGCTAAGTCAGTATATCAGTAGCAAGACAAAAAAGTAGCTACTGTAGAAACAGAACAATGGCTAGGCTGGAAATTTCTTTCCAACCCTATGAGGGCCTTCCTGTCCCTCAAAGTCATCTGGGTACTTGCTTAGAAGATCAGAACTCCTAGCTATGTGAAGGACAAAACTGCACAGAGTACAGTAGCATCTTACTGACTGGGAAAACTCAAATGGAAAAACATCACTTCATAGTCTCTTCAAGCTGAGTGCATGCAAATCCACATCACAAGAGCACCTTCACGGCTAGGCTAGAGGCAAGGTTAGTATAATAAAGATCTTCTTGTCCATATGTGTCAACTGACAACGAACATCCAGTACAGAAAAAGTATGAACCAGACATTCAAACACAAGCGTAGTGAAGAGAACATTAGGTGAGGAGAGTGGAATTCCTTGGGGTTTGTTTCCTCCTCTGTAGATGCTTGATACAGTGAGTGCAATCTAGAATACAGCTAAGCATTCTAGAACTCCCTTAGGCTGCAGGGCAGATTTTGCTCAGGACAACCCAGCTCTGTCTATACAGACTGAAAATCCAAGGCACCTTTCTTGGCCCTGGATTTCATACTAATAACCAGTGCCTTAAGCATGGCAATACCGAAGTCCTTTATCAGATCTAGCCCTACTTCTAAAAACTTGTCTTCTCAAAATGGCAGTTGAACAATCACTGAAGCACCTAGCTCAGATTCACAAGTATCACACTGCAAATGAGAAGTATGTATCAAACTTTCCAATTACTGTGTTTGTTTCTAAAATGCTATGTAATTTACTTTTCAGTAACTCTCAACTTTTGTTGCTAGTAAAAAGTGAACTGCAGCATGAAAGATGTGCCTTACCAGTTTATACATGCAGATACACACATCATAATGAAACAAGACTAGCTTCTGAAAATACTAGGTTTTATTCACACCCCAGTGGTAAACAATAACCTTAATATGATGACTAGGTTTCTTTTGTAGATCACTATGTCACATAAAATACAAAACCCATAGCATAAACAAGCTGACAGTTATGAATGTTTAATGTGGTCTCGTTGGAAATTAAACAAGTTATACTAGTCTTCTCAAGTAGTCAAACTCAAAATGCATCATCATCTCCTAGTTAGTACAAGTCACTGCCATTTCTATAACAAAGTAATGAAGGCACAGCTAGTGCAAGCAGACTTAAACCCGTTCAGACTACTGGGCTGAAAAATACTTTGGTTGGTTCTTCAGGAGAGAGTTTTCTCTAAACAAATATTGGTCTCGGTTAAGAGTTCTGATAATCTTCACAGCTGCAGTCTAATAGCTACATGACAAAGACTTCACAAGAACCAAACTATATAGCAATGAATTAACATTCATGCTTTAGGGGATTTACTGCATTCTACATATTGGCAGAAAATTATACTGTTAAAATGCTAGGTAGATTGAACCTACATTTTAAACTGGTTCTTATGTGTTTGATTTCTTTTTTTTTAACAAATTGGTTACTTAATTCTACCAAGATACAAAACATAAGGCTGTAAGTAACTAATAGTTGTGTTTAGGCTATTACAGTGCAGGTAATCCTCAAGGCCACATACACACTGCTTCACTGCTGCTTGCATTCTGCTGGGTTTTGATCCTTCTGTCAAGAAAAAAGGAAATATCAGTTTACAGATATCAGTGTTTTAAAATAATTATTAATATTGCTAAGCATACTTTCTCAAGTTCCAGTATTCAAGTTCTTCTTTCATGTTTTCCCTTAAACTAATTGCCTAGTATTAGTAATACTGCTGGGTTTGGATGTGGCAACATCCATGGTGCATTGATTTTGGCTTTGTTAATGCATAGGTATGATCCAGAACAAATATCAGTTCAGAACTAAGTGTGGTGGGATACTCTGGAAAACACCAACTGGAAAAAGGAGGGGGAGAACTATGCATAACAACAAACAACCTGGTTAAAAAGAAGTATCCAGGCTTCCTACACAGTTTGAGGCAAAAGAAAACCCGTGGTCAGTAACAAGGGCATGGCCTTACTCCAGAAGCCACTGTAGAGGAACGCAATGAAACATCAAATCATGGTATGTTCTTAACACTCTGAAAACATCTTTTGCAACAAATTCCAGTTGTTAAATTCTAACATGGAAAATTTCTTCTGTCATATTGAAACAGACAACCAACAATATCTCACAGTAATATGGGAATTTAAGGAAAAGGTTTTTAGGGGCAGAGTTCAGCTGCAAGTTATACTCCACTGCCCTGGACTGGGATAGCCATTCTAGGACCCCAGTGCTTTAATAAATTCAGCTGGCTTTCAGCCTGTGATCAGCTTACAACTATTTATTCTTATGTCAGTACACTATAGTACCACTACTGTCTCTAGCCCTTTGGCAGCTCTCTCTCAAACTGAGCATACAGTCTCACCCTTTCTCAGTTCTGTTTAGCCTAGAAAAGCGATCTGAAATGGTGAAAATAAGAAGCCCATTTTGCAGCTGTTTCGTTCTGATTCCCAAACTTTCTTGAATAGGAAGCAATTTGAATACACTATCGTAGATGAAACATCACCAACAGGCTGTACATTTTGATTTACCGTTCTATACCCTACATCTTTCTAGGTACAATGCTAAAATTATATTATTTCAATGGTACTTTGATTGTAACTCAAACTGTTCCTACTGAAAAATATGGTGCCTCCTCATTTGAAATTGCAAGCACATTTCTCAGCAGACAACATTTTCAGTTTGCACAGACTTCATTTTCATTACTGCAACTTTCACCTACCACCATCAGATGCCTTCAGGTGGCCAAAATGTGCCTTTCCCTTAGCTAGGAAAAAGCTATGAATTAGAGTGGCTCACAATCACTCTTCCAGCAAACCAAGCCAGACTAGTGATTTGCCCTGCCCATGGAATAAGCAAGCTGCCAGTTGGTGGTTCTTGGTGGTTCACATTTTAGTACTTGACTTTAGATGCATTCCTGAACCTTGATTTCTGCTACCTCAAGAGATAAAAGACTCGCTATTATCCACCCTGAAAAAGCCTCAGTTTTGTACTCTGCTGGAAAAAATCTGTGCCAGAGTCAGCTTGTGACAAGTTCCCAAAAACTGAACCTAGATTACACAATTCTCTGAATGCCCTTACAACCATTATAGAACATTTTCATCATTAGCAGCAACTTGCTGAGACTATAGAAAACCAAGCCTAATTTCAGTGCTGAAAGCCAGAAGTTACTTTTACAAAATGATTCTTGGAGAAAGAACTTTTTAAAAGTTGCTCTACCAATATTAGTCTGTCAGAACTTGGACTGAAACAGCCTCAGCCAAAACACACAACACAGGAACTATTGATTAAATACCTAAATGAAAAATCAAAATTTAACCTACATAAAATTTTAATTGAGTGTATGCATATGCAAACTTCAAACATTCCTTTTAATTCCTTACTTTTGAGTCATAATCAGGATCATTTTCTTCATCTGCTTCTTCTTCCCCCTCCTGAAAGAAAATACTTGTTTGTATTTCTCTAGCTTATCCACATTCAGCTTCCTGAGCCATTTTCAAGAAATTAAGATTATATTCTTAAATACATTAATTGCCACTATAAGTTATACATATTGTATTCATTTGCCCTCTACAAAGCTCATCACCTTCTGACATCAGTTGCCACTTCATTGGTAAGATACTTTAGGGTTGTCTTGTTGGTTGGTTTCTTTCATTGCTTTTTTAAAAAATATTCACCCTAGATCCACAGAACGATGTGCTGTATCTTACATTCATAATTAATACCTGAATTTAGTGTCTAGAGTATTCGAAAACCAAAGGAACTCTCATTCCAGAAGAACTACAAATGGGAAACTATTTCAGACAAGGCCATATGTCAACTTACCTCATCATCTGCCTCTTCACCTTCTTCATCATACTAGGAGAGAAAATAAATGGTTTTTGAAGAGTCAAACATAGCCATTTACGGCTCAGGTACAGATAACTCAAGTAGATCCCAGAGACCACACTGTACAGTGCTCTAAGAGAAGCTCCTATATCTAACAGATCTAAAAATGCTTTATGCATCAGCATTAGTAGCGTTCAGTCTCTTAAGCTATGTTCTGGTGGAGAAAACTGCCTACCTTAAGTCACTCACATGACACCGGCACAGTTCATTAGACTGTGACCACACTTCTGGCCAGCAGGGTGTCTCAAAGCCTAAGGCAATCTCTGGTTAGTCACTTCCCTCTCCCACCTCCCCCAGCCAAGGCTTTGGACTAAGGGCTACCATTGTGCATTCTAAAAATTATTTTTAAGGCAGGACTTATCCAAGCTATCTGAACTGTCAAACTGTCCTTGTTTGTGCAGAGGCAAGGGAAAAAGCCTTTTGGACTTAAAGTTCTGGGGTTTTGTGGTTTGTTTTTCAAACATAGCTCCTATAAAGCACTTAATTCAAGCTTTTGAAAAGCTTGCTTTGAATATTTTGGCATGCTTTGAATATGCTTATCTATCATTTTCTAATAAGAGTGCCCTCCTGAAAGGATCAAACTTGAATCTGAAGGAACTTGGTAGCCCAGTATCACTGTAAACACAAAGAACAGGCTAAGCAGCTACACAAACAGACTAATTTGTCCTCTGGCAGCTCATCACAGTTCTACCAAAGCAGTGAGTATGCCACCTTAGGAATGCCTTATACACAAAATTCTACTTGGACATCCTCTAAAAGTTCAGCTTCTACCACTATTTTTGCCACAAAACTCTGAAGTCACCACCTGAAAGATGGATTACTTTTGTGCTGCTCTACTGAACACTTCAGGAAGCTCAGCTGAACCTAACGTTGGTATCCGTAGAATGCGATGTATCAATGTTGTAAGTCAGAAATTACCCAGAGTCTTTAAGCAACATTATTTCAATGTTTTTAGTGTTTTGAAAGAACAATATACTTACATCATCATCATCATCTTCAATGGCTTCTCCTGTGAAGTACAATACTGATCGGGGCACTATACGTTCACGCAAGAAATGACCTATTTCAAAATCTGCAGCAAGGATTGCCTCAGCATCATCATCCTGCATAAAACAGCATTATTTCCTAAGCCATAAACCAATAACTACATTTGACACAAAACCACAAGTTGCACAGACTTTGATGTACCCAAATTTATACAGATCACATGTGCTGACTTTTCTGGTACTCCTAATAAAGAAAATTCAAATACAGACTATTCATCACAAGTATTCTCAGTTAAATACAGAAACAGTTAAAGCTGAAGCTGTTTAACAAATTCCCAAATAATTTCAACAAACACTTTGTATATAAAGGTATGAATTCTTCTACTGGTGTTTCTGCTCCACCTCTGTATTTTAAATAAGCCAACTTACCAAGTCTCCACTTTCAGGAACTGTAACAAAAAAAAATTAGAGAAGAAACAAGTGAGAGAGGTACATACTGCATTTAAAGTCAATGCAGATAAAACTAATGTTCAGTTTACCTTCAGGAGGACTAAAGAAGTTGAAGAAAGAGTCATTAGAAACAGTTTTTGTCACTGTTCTAACTGTTCCACGACCCTTATGCTTCTGCTTCTTCTTAATGGTTTTCAAAGTAACATTCTTTCCTTTTTTCCAGTCTATTTGGCAACTGAAGAGGAAAGAAAAAAAAAAAAGGCAAAACAAAAAAACAGCTGCAGCTTAATACCATTCCATTGTTACAGGTACCTACTGAGACTACCACAAGTACAAGGAATTCAGTGAATATAAAATATTAAGGTAGTATTTATCAAGTGCTATCTTTTCATTAATTTGTACACTGAGAACAAGAGTGACAGGTTCATTTTAAGATTTAAGTGTTTTCATCCAAAAGTTTCTCCTTCCCCATTCAATCTCTGAAATGCTGATTTTCAGTAGCTACCAAGTTCTACGTAGTTTCCTATCAAAAAATAGCATCACACCATTTTTAAAGCTACCTACCCATTATAAAGTAATGTCATATTTGGTCAGGCTCGGAATATGCCAAGGTTTACTACACTTATCACTGTAATCACCAAGTCCTTAAAATAATGCATCAAGCAGGTATGTAGTTTTTGGTTGGTTTTTAGTTGTTTATTTGTGGGATTTTTGCCTCCTTCTGTTTAGTTTCTTTTGGGGTTTTTTTTGTTTCTTTGGTTTTTGTTGGTTCTATCCTGCTTACAGAGCAAAATCATGCCCACAGGCTTGTCTCGCACTCACAAAGAATTCTGGGGACATGTAAATGAAGTTACATCAATAAGACTATCCACATTTGCAGAAGTTTCCAATTAGATTCCTTTAAAGACTGAAAGGAAGGGGTTGAGTTGTTTTGGAATAAGAAGATGCTGTCTTAGTTAAAAGACAAAACAAGGACTAGGAATAAATTATTTTCACAGAAGCAGAGTGTCATTTTACAGTGACCTCTACTGATATTTTTGAAAAACAGTCCAAACTGAGGAAGACAAAACAGTTTGATCAAAGCTATTCAAGGACTAAAGACTAAATCTTACAGGACATCTGCAGAAATATATTACATTAAATGACTGGGAAATAAAGTGGTAAATAAAAGTCAGTATCAGTAACTGCAGATTAATATATGGGTATAACCAACTCTGACTACACAGTAAAAGGCTCAAAATAAGTTATCACTCAGAACAGCAGTCAGAACATTAAAGAGACATTAAGATGAAAGCAACTGAACAGGCCATGATGCACAGAGCCCTGATGTACCCATGAGGCTAATTATTTACAACTCCAGTTTCTCTCATCCTTCTGTCCACAAGAAAAGGGACATGTACAGGATAAAGATTATTTACTGTGAGGAATAACAGCTGATTTAGAACAAAAGACATAATTGAGAAAGGAACGTGACATCTCCTTAAAATCATGAGGAACCTGGAGTTAATAGGAGATGCCTATTCTTGATTTTTCAAATAGATTAACTGAAAGTTACCCAGAGGCAAACATTCAACACTTACAGAACAAACTGGGCAACTGCAATATAGAAAGTAAAACTGAACTAGACTTCCCCGAGTTCTGCACGTCAGAAATACAAAAAAGATGGGGAACTACAGGCCAGTCAGTCTCACCTCTGTGCCCAGCAAGATCATGGGGCAGATACTCCTGGAAACTATGCTAGGGCACATGGAAAATAAGGGGGTGATGGATGACAGGCAACATGGCTTCACTGAGGGCAAATCGCACCTGACAAATTTGGTGACCTTCTACAATGGGGCTAGAGCATTAGTGGATAAGGGAAGAGCAACTGATGTCATCTACCTGGACTTGTGCAACGCATTTGATACTGTCTCATACAACATCCTTGTCTCTAAACTGGAGAGACATGGATTTGACAGATGGACCACTCAGTGGATAAGGAATTGGCTGGGTGGTCACACTCAAAGAGCTGTGGTCAACAACCTGATGTCCAAGTAGAGAACAGAGGTGAGTGGCGTTCCTCAGGGGAATCAACGCCTTTTAACATCCTTGTTGGCAATATAAACAATGGGACTGAGTGCACCCTCAGCAAGTTTGCCAATGACACCAAGCTGTGTGGTGTGGTTGACATGCTGGAGGGAAGGGATGCCATCCAGAGGGACCTCAACAGGCTTGAGAGGTGGGTCCATGTGAACCTCATGAAGTTCAAAGACCAAGCACAAGGTCCTGCACACGGGTCAGGCCAATCCCAAGCACAACTACAGGCTGGGCAATGAGTGGATTGACACCAGCCCTTCGGAGAACTTGGGGGTAGTACTGGATGGAAAACTGACCATGGGCCAGCAACGTGTGCTCGCAGCCCACAAAGCCAACCATGTCCTGGGCTGCATCAAGAGGAATGTGGCCAGCAGGTCACAGGAGGGGATTCTCCCCTTCTACTCTGCTCTCATAAGACCCCACCTGCATAAGAAGGACATGGATCTGCTTGAGCGGGTCCAGAGGAGGCCACAAAGATGATCGGGGGGGCTGGAGCACCTCCCTTATGAGGACAGGACGAGAGAGTTGGGGTTGTGCAGCCTGGAGAAGGCTCCAAGGAGACCTTATAGCAGCCTTCCAGTACTTAAAGGGGGGGCCTACAGGAAAGGTGGGGAGGGACTCTATCAGGAAGTGTAGGAATAGGATGAAGGGTAATGGCATTAAAGTGAGGGCAGATTTATATTAGATATAAGGAAGAAATTATTTCCTGTGGAGGCGGTGAGACACTGTCAGAGGTTTCCCAGAGCAGCTGTGGCTGCCCCCTCCCTGGGAGTGTCCAAGGCCCAGCTGGACGGGGCTGGGAGCAACCTGGGCTGGGGGAAGGGGTCCCTGCCCAGGGCAGGGGGTTGGGACTAGGTGGTCTTTAAGGTCCCTTCCAACCCAAACCATTCTATGGTTAAAAGAAGCAGTCAAACCAATTTTGAAAAAAGCTATCAAGGCCTACACAAAGATAACACCACCCACCTTCCAATTCAGCTTTAGTGATTGCAGAACATTTTTTCTAGATAAGTACTGGTTAGATTATTTACATGCATATATACACTTAAAATATATAATATAAAAGATATAGTTTTATATATACTATATTGAAGTTATTGAAAAAAATCAAGTCAAACCCAGCTGTTTACAAGTTATTAGGTAGCAATAACTTTTCCAGCACCTTCCAAAGTGGCTGTAAGTCTTCCTTAGCACTATCCAACTGTAGACACTGTTACCCAGCCTTGGAGTTATTTATTAGCACTTACCCTGTACAACCCATGATTTCCGGTCCATCAAAGGAGAAGGGATCAGAATCATCTGGCTCTGACCTCATTCTATACGTCTTTGTCAATACTTCATTTGTGAAGTAGTCATTTGGTTCAAAATGAAACTCTAATGTGAAACTCTTAAAGAATTGAAAAGCAACAACCTTAGCAATTTAGCAACACATACCCTTAACTTCTAAATATCTAAAATCCAAAACAAAAAATACACATGCAACAGAATATATCCATCCCCTCCAGTATTTAAATGGTGCACGTCACTTATACTAGAATTTTCTGCCCAGCTTGCACAATACATCTTCAAATGTTTTCAATACCATGTTCATCTTATGCTTATTAGTTAATATACTGCTTGCAGTAATGACGCAAGACTGCCCAGTGTACAGATTTCCTGCTGCTAATGTATAGAGAGAAATTATAAATTTAAAATACTAAAACTTATCAAGCGATCTGATTTCTGGCAAGGAAATTATATCCAGTTATAACAGTTATACAAAAAGTAGCTGAAGGTATCAACATTTAAAGTGAAACTTACATCATCAGATATTAAGGCCAAGTTATCAACTCAGAATTAGAAGGTTAAATTAAGTCAATTCATTCATATGGTACTACAAGACTAGTACTAGTCCTTGTACTGTTTTTCAGAAAACAAGAAGCAGCTGCAGATTTCACGATTGCCATAAGACAATCGGCTATCACAGACTATGCTACCAATATACAGATAAGTCTTAAGATGACACACAATTAATCTTGTTTAATAGGTTAAACTAACCATAGGCTGTCCAACTTCTGAGAATTTCACTTTTATATCTTTTAAGTGTTTCAGGATAGGTTCATCATGTTCCTGTACAGAAAACACAGTTTATTCAATTTTCATAACATTAAATTGTACACAAATTTAATACCAATACCCTGCAGAGATAAAAAGCCATATTTAGAATGATTTTTACATAGGATAAGAACTTTGTTACAGCACTGAAACATTTTCACAAATGTGACCAGCAGATGGCAACAATGGTTGTACAGAGTTTCCACTGCAGTACACAACCTAAATCTGTGCAAACACAAAGCACAGTTTTTAGCAATATCTGATATACATCTCACACATGCTCCTATAAGCACAGGAAGTGTATTATTTTACCTTATTAAGTTCAACAAATAACACAGTAAGAAGCTATTTCAGAGTGCTCTGTAGTATCAAAGTACTTGTTCCATTTTTGTTTTCTACCAGACACATCAAGTAATATACTGTTTCTACTCCTTTCTTAAAGATACTTGGATTAAATACTAACACAAATTTAAATAAGCCTGGACCACCACCTACCTGAACCATATCACTGAGCAAGTCCACGTTCTTGAATACCGTCAACCAAAATTCAGGAATTCCTTTGGGATCTTCTTTTTCTTCATCTTTTTTTTCCTCTTCAAGCTTGGCTTTCTCTTTCATTTCCTCCTTGATAGAATCAAAATGTTAGTTTTTCTTAATTTTAACAGTGCCCACAAGATTCATTAACAGTTATACGTTGATACCAGTACAGATTAAGTTTCATGTGCATGCTTTAAGCAATCACGAAGAATTGTTATCATTATTATAAGCAAGTAATCATTATGCACACAATTTTTTTTAAGTTTTAGTTACTATATTGAATTTTGTTTGATGCTAAAGCTTGAGATATTGATGAGAACTGATTAAGATACTCACTGAAATTTCTTCTTCAACATCTGCTTTCCATTCACATTCTTCCTCTGTAGGTTCATAAATTGCATTGATGATTTCACTTCGCTGGAAGATTAAACCAAGAATATTTTAATGTTTCCTAGTCATTGCAACCAGCAATTCCCTAGACAATAAATTCCTAATCCTAAAGTTACACAATTAGTAATACATTAACTATTTATCAAAACTTTTTCTTCTGGCCCTAGAAGACAACTCTATAGTTACGACGTTTTTAACACACTAAAATAAGCAAAGTTTCAGAAAGGTTATCATACCATCTGACATCTGCTCAATTAACAACATGAGGCCTGGCACACTGAAGTGATTTTGGTAACCCTGGAACAGACTCCAAGAACCTTTCTCCACCTTAATCTTAGTTGATATTCACATGGATGGTAAAATTGTATCAACTGACTTGAATGGACACATAGAAGACCAAAGTAATTCAGAAGCATAAACTTTCAGTTTATATTCCCTTGTGTTTTAGCTAAAGCTTTTAAGTAGAAATCAGGTTAGCATTAAAATACCTTGTCAAACAAAGGCTGATAGAGAGCAGCATACTTTCTTTCCAGCTCATGAACCTCCTCATAGAACTTTGCTTCTATCTGTGCACATTGAACTTGAAGGTTCTTGAGAGCATTCACACGTCTTTTAACAACTTTAGGCAAGCTGAAAAATTCAGTGACAGAACTGTTAACACAACATTCTAAGCACATACTGACCCCTCCTTAACCAATCCCCTTGCAAGTTAACCAGCTTGCATTAAAACAGGTTTTACACTCTATTTTAAGCTTTAGAAAGCTGTACAAATCAAAAGTATGACCCACAGCAACATGCAGATTGAAACTGTTAACACAGGCTCTTAAACTGAGGCTTAACCTCAGTTAGAATTGAGTATTCCAAAACCCCTGGGTCAATCATGAGACAAACTTGTGCAGTAAAACTTCATACTAAAGACAAGTTTAACGTTATCAGTGAGCGGCATAGTAAATTCATACGATTGAGCATAATTAAGAAAGGCATTATCACTAATTGGCTTGGGTTTACGAAAGGAAGTTCAAGACAATTGAGTTATTATTTGCTAAGGAAGTTAATCATCAAAATTCACATTTTTCTTCCACTGAGGAAAGCAGCTGGTACTACTGTCTTCTAACATATTAGCTGCCACTCCCAAAGTGAGCCAGAACTGTTTTGCCAAATGTCCCTCTATTATACATGTGTAAAAGGAAAGCAATTAATGCAGTCCTCATTACAAATACTTGTCAGCTACAACTCTTTAAGACTAGTTTCACTTTAGTAATCTACACTAACACAGCCTTACTGTTAAGACAGAAAGTTACCTGCATCAAGGCTACTGGTGAGATTCATGGGGTAAATTGCTGTCAGCCTCTACTGCCTGTGAGGTGGGCCAGACCCCAGCATATGGCTACTCAAGATTACTATGTTAACTGCCCCTATTTATTTTATTTAAGCAGTTGTGCCGCATTATTTAGAACACAGTAGTAAACAACTGCTTTTAATTGTAAGGACCAACTTCAGGTTGGAAATAAACAAGAATGTATTTGCTTAGTTAAACACTGAAGGTTGATGTTAATTACTAAAGCTACCTTATGTCTATTAGGTAGAACAAGCACATGTTCCAACATTGTTCACTTTAAAATGCAGAACCCTTCTCCCCAACAGCTTTATGCTCAACATGAATATACTATTTCTGATTACTAAGATAATATGCATATCACCATTAAATCAAGATTTCCTTAACCCTCCAATTGGGACAAAAGTACATCTGCTACACAAGCTAGCAAAACCACTTAAATTTAATCAGGTATGCTCATAAAGGGTTGATAGCATTCTTGTTACTCTGACATTTTTCCAGAAGTTAGCTGAGTTAATAATTTGCTGTAATTTTATCTTCAAGTACAGTATCAGAACTAACAGCAACTTAAATAACAAGTTCAGTTAGTTCAAGAAAAAAAGTGTTAAGGAGGGAAATTAATATGACCATACAGATAAGCCATACAACAATTGTCCACTTAATGCCACATGCATAGATCTAGACTAAGAGTACTGGTCCTAGCAACTGAATATAAACCACTATGAAATTTCTAAGAGGTAGTGCCATACATGCAGCATGTCCAACTCCAGTATGTTAAGAGTAAAGATTTTAACCCCTTTATTAGAGAATATAGAAACTTTGCATATTGCAAAGCTACATTTCATTACAGTTCACGCCAACTACTTCAAATTTCACAGTCTGTACATCTACTACCTTTATCAACCCCGTACTTTCAAAAAAAGAAAGGTAGTTCCATGAAAGAGACAGCTTTTACAAAGTGAATCCAAAATGGAGATCTGAACAGGACTGAACAAGTAGAACAATGGCAGGTAAAACCCGTTGCTCCGAATACAAGCCACTAGCAAATGTTATGATCACACAAGAATATAACCTCCTGTGAGCAGTTGAGGGAAATTCTATTCTATGAAAGTAAGTTCCATTACAATTATTGTGGCCAGGCACAGGTGAAGAGGTAAGTTACTGGGATAGCTGTCAAGCAATTAGCAGATTCTGAGCCTGAGCAGACAGATGTTTTCCTGGAACCTCTTTAGGTTCCTACCAGCTTATGCATCTAGCTCCTTAACAGCCCATGTAGCAGGCTTTTAGGATCCCAGATTCCTGCTGACTTCTGTGCCATCTCAGTGTCTAGACTCTGTAGATAAATAAGCTCAAAATAATAATTGGGAAGACATATAAGAGGCCCCTGTAAAGCATGGTTAAGTCAGCATGCGTATGTTGAGAAATATGCAGATTCAATTTACACACATTTTCCATAGTTATTTTTGTATTGCAAGTTAAGTAAGCATTTGGTACAACAGCAAAGTTACAATGCTTTTGTGACAGAGAATGCACTACTGTACTTGGAATCGATGAAGAAATGGTATAGTATCTTAGAGAGCAGCTGACTAGAAGAATGCCATGTAAATCAATGTTATCACTTTTGTTCACTTCTTAGATCAAGGACCTGAAAGATTAGTAGAGGTTAATTAACATCTGTCGAAACACAGAAGAAAAATATTGGGTATAGAAAGCCTGTAATGTACAGTATCTAAAAGAGAAAGAACCTGGGTACCCTCTGACTCCATGCTCTTCCTGGGGCCGGTATTTATTAGGGAAGGCTGTTAGTTAAATGGTCTTTTCTTTCATGCTATCATCTCTAACAGAAAAGTGGTCTAAGTAGGAATACCAGCAGCTACAAAGCCTGCTACTTAGTAGCTGCCCCAGTTCAAATCAATAGCAGTGTAGGACCCTAACACAGCAAGACAGTTGTATGTTTTACAATTCCTGTGGATGTGGTGAAACGTTCATACACAATCAGAAACTACATGAGAGAGAAAATTCTATCTGTTAATGCAGATCAAGAAAATTTTAGCAAGAGACTGTTGCAAGTTTTGATACATAAGACCACCACATGAAGTACTGATACAACATTCCCACTTTTATTAGCTCACGGTTACACTCTAACCATAAAAATTACCATATCAGAGACACTAGGTCTCCAGGTATTTGTCCATACTTAAGATAATTGATGTTTCATGATTAAGGCAAAGCTACAAAAGACACTCCAAGTAGCAGGAAATTATATTTTAAAAGCATGCACATTGCAACTGCAAAGGACCGGGTCAGCCACAGTAAATATTTTAACATTCTTTTCTTCATAAAAGCCCAGATAAAAACTCTTCCATTCTGAGATGCACCACAGACAGGCTTTATTCGTTTTCCTGTTATCTGGACAGCACAGTAGTTTATGACTATTAATGCTACAGACAATACTGTTCAGAAAACAGAAGAACCATTTATACCACTCCACTCATACTGAACAAATACTGTACCTTTCTATATATCCTGTAGATGTTCCTACCAGACCATCAAGTCTCTCCTGAAGGGCTGCAAGAATCTGAGGATTTTGCATCATCTGCACAGTCAACTGCCGAGCTAAATTAAAAAAGAAAATTACACAAGTGCAAAGTGCATCTTTTAGACTAAGCTTGAAAGAAAAGTTACTTAAATACTACAAAAAAGCAGTAGGTTTACTATATATACACTCGTAAAAAGAAACATAGGCAAAGTAGTATTTCAAACACCTCTCCATTTTGGAAGCATGAATCAAATGCATCCTATTCTGAATACAGAAGCAGCACCTGGATTAAAGTGGCTACTATTCAGCAAGCTGAGCTTTTTTGTCAAAATGAAAGGTTTTATATGATGCCCTAAAACCATCAGTTTTGCCTTGACTGCTTTTATTTTGAATTCATTAAAGTAAGGTAAGGTAGAAGAACTTGTGCTTTTACTTTAAGAATGAAATAAAAACTGGAATTAGGATTTTCATTCCATTTTAGGTAAATGGAAAGAAACAAGACAGTTTGACTTGGATTTAAAACTCCTTTACAAATCTGTTTACCTAATTTTTCCTGCAAAAGAATAAATTATTCATTAGCATAGCCTGACCCATTATTGACTAGACTATCACTACTAAATCCTCGTAGTCTACTATTTACATCATCTTCAGAAAACACTTTGTCCAAATAGAAAACCTGTTTCAGTCTACAAAGTAAAAGTAGATTTAAAAAACACAAGCTCCTAGCCTAAGTGTTCTCATTATCCATGCTAACATCAAGCCTTTTACTTAACCTGCAGAAACGTATTTCACAACATTGTATTTTTCAGTAAGAATTTATGATCAGTTTTTATCATGCTCTTTTGTCTTCTCCACCCTATCCTCAACATCTACAAATAAGCAAACAAGTATGTTAAATTCCTTATAAGATACTAGGTTTATATAGCATACTTCTAACACCTTCAAATTAGAGTGAAGCTTTTCAATCCTTCCTGATACACAAAGCTTTTGGAAATAGCATAGCATTTTCCATTTCTGTGTCCTTCACTACAGTAAGCACACGTGAATATTCTCTTCATGTCCTAGCACTGAAATTACATGCTGGAAAGTTACATTTCAAGTGACATCCAAAAAAGCAGCATTGTTTCTCCATAATGACTGCAATCAGTTTATATTTTAGCAGTAGAAGCTGTAATTGCTTCTTAAAAGTACCACCTCACATTAGTCAATACTATTCCTCTTGCCAAGGTATCTAGTTTTTCTGGTGCTACTGTTCATTAGTCTTTCCTATACACTTGAAAACCTACCCAGCTGTGCCATTTGAGTATGTTACCATTTATTCTTTCATATTAAATCAGTATACACATCATACACAAGGTATGACAATGCCAACAGCCACACCTCCTCAAACTGAAATCTGAGCACATACTCTGTTCTGCAAGTTCTTAGATACGTGAATACCATTTCTTCAAAGAAGTCTTTCCTAAAAGCATGTGTGCTTTACTTATTGTCCACAGAAAGGCCTTTGACATATTTAAAAATGGAATTATCTAGATTTTGAAAAAGCAAATCAGTAAAACCCAAGGAAAAATTGTGCATGAAAAAAATACTAGAAAACTCAACAAGTAGGAATTAGATGCAAAAGAAGTTAGCACTGTGTCAAGTTTTTCTACTACTGAGACATGTTTCTGATTTATAAAATCCAATTTCCCTCCAAGATTCCCATAGTATAATTTCCCCTCAGATCCTCATCTATAATAGCTGGGATTAATCACTAAAAATACACATTATTCATCTCTAGGTTCCTTTGGGACACCTGAGTACTTAGCATTTAATAACTGTAAACTGTTCTTCAGCTGAGCAGTACATTCCCCAGAATTTTGCAATCCAGTTTTGAAAACTTTTTTCAATATACATAGCAAAGCCTCTAACATCATCTTGAGCAAAATTATCCAACTCTTCTTGTGTAGCTATTATTCTGTTCAAGTAGTCACATAATGGGGCACTATCAGTAGTCCATTTTATTGCAGAGATTATTAGTTATTTCTCTTTTGGCCTGCTCTTCAGATTCTATCTGTGCCCCCAGTTTTTAACTACAAAGCATGAGTAAGACTGTTCAGCACAGACAAAACAAGTATTCTGATATACATTCAGGTTTTTTTGTTGAGGGCAAAAAAAAGAAGCATTTATTGATTTTAAGAGCTTTAACACTAAGCATGATGTTTCTTCGCACAATCAAACAACTCAGAAGCAAATTACTAATTAACTGATCAAAAAAATGATATATTCACACATATGTGCCCCTTTTCTCTACCCAAAGCTTCACATTTTAAAAGCTTTTAACTGTCTTTCATTTTGAAAGAATCTAGCCACATACCCACAACAATCCTTTCTTTTCCAATTATACATCCTTACAAGCGCGGCCAGTGCTGCCCGAACTGGTACTAACCATGACTAAAATGAGTCAGACAACTAAAAAAAAAAAAAAAAAAAAACAAAAAAAAAAAACCAAGCAAAAACCTGCCCCCCCCCAAACAAAAAAAAAAAAAAAAAATCACACAACTGGAAAAAAAGGATCCTTGCTTCAGAATTTCAATAGTTGTGCATCAGTAGTTATGTTTTACCATTTCCTATTATTTTAAGCAGTAATATCCTTTTAACACATTAATTAGAAAGCACATACACAGCTGCTTAGAAACCCGTTTTCAATGTTACCTTTGCTATTGGCGTCTTCACCAGTTTCTTCTTCTTCTACTTCTTCAACATCTTCCATATCCTGTTGATCAAGTTCAGACTGTTCTTTGCTATTAGGAAGATTCAATAACAGGATCAAGAAGTTAATTTTATAAAATACTATAATAAGCTTAAAAAGCTCAAAATAGAGATCATGTGGGTAGAAGCAAACTGTTGCATCAGCTTTGATCTATGACAAATTATGTCTTACTAGCCAAACAAAGCCACATTTGTCTTCAGAGATTCAAGTATCACACTTGACAATCTCAGCAGAGTTTAAAGAACTAGCAGCTTTCCAGCATTTTGAAGGTTCTTTTTTGCAAAATAATTCCTTCAGCTCCTCTTCGTATCAACAAGTCAAAGACTCCTTCTGCTCTACACATCCACTTTTTTAAGATGTACAGGCCTTGAGAACTAAGGGTAGATTCACCTAAACTATACTTTGAATGCCACAAAATATGAGCATTTGAAGTATAGAAAAAACTACATACAGTGAAACAATAGTAACAGGCAGCGCTAACAGAATTATAGCTAACATAGTAAGCTGACTGGTGCCTTGTCCCAGTTTTAGACTTGCTTACAGTTAATATCCCAAACCCATTTGGCATAAGCAAATCAAGTTTTTTTCCCACATGCTATCATCTTGCCACAGTGCAAAAATCACTACCTAGACTCTGTCAAGTGTCTGTAGATCACATCCATTTGAAGTACAGCACTGGACACAGTCAGAGCCTCAGTAACCTACAGATTTTACTTACTTGTCTATGTCTGCCATTGTCCAAGATTTCAAACCCTATAGGGAAAAAAAATATAGAGAACAGCAGCATTAGACTTAAAAGGTCTACAGGCATGTGCCATAATACTAAAAAGGAAAGAAACAAACCCATGTCAACTTTAAGAAATAAGACAAATACATACTATATACTAGAAAAGTGCCATGTCACATTTTGTATCATAGAACTGTACTAATATCACATATTGAAAATTAGTCCTGTGTAAGTACAAAATCTAAATATAACTTGAGAAAAAAATGAAGCAAAATGGGTGCTAGAACTCTTTTGGTAACTGTTTACTCATTTCCAGCATGTAATTGCAGACAGAGGAATCTTACAGCTAAATCAGCTTCTTTTATTACTAAAGACACCCTTCTGTGGATTTACTTTTAATCCCAACTTTACAAAACCAAGTAGTTCCTCAGAATACCCTGAGAATTTCAACATTTATAAAAATTATGCCAAGTGCTAAACTACTTAACATGACTAATTTCCATGTCCTGAATGATCAGAATTTTCTTAAGTACCTCAGTATCATAAACACATTCCAGACAGTTACTAGAAATAATAATAGGTTGAGACTACTGCAAATCTTACATAACACGAAGTACCTATGTTCTCAAATGTATTACAAGATGAATAACATTTTCCACAAGTAAAACAGTACTTAGAAGTCTAGTCTCCAAAAAGATGTTTTGGGTGGCTTGAACTCAAGAGATAATGCTATGCACAAGAAAACACTGTCCCATTACTGCTATCTTAGGTCCGATGGTTCAGGGGACACCAAATAGCAAGAATAATCCACTGGCCCAGGAAGCACAGAAACCGCTGCTTTAGAGGCCCCATTTCAACTGCTGCCCATCAAACTAAACAAATTCAAGTTTCCTTCACAAAGCTCAACTCCTTATAATGCATTCCTATGAGAATTTTAGTCAAAGTGTTGGAGGTATGTGTTCCAGAAAAAAAAACAAAAGTTGGATTTGATCTGTCCGAAGTGTGTAAAGCAAGAGCACAATCCCAGTAAAATCGGGACATTAACAGCCATGGTAGAATCTAAACTTCAGAATTTAACACCTACATACTATGTAGATATAATCAAAATATATTTTTCTGGTGTCATAACTCCTTGCCAACAATTACATGGGAAGGAAGTATCCAACGTCTTCATTTAGGATGACAATTTTACAGTGCCAATAAAGTACTTAGGAGACTGCATGTCATCGAAAAGGTTCAATTCCCTAGTATGCAGAAAAACTAGAGAACCAACTCAACTACTTATCAATTGATTTCAGAAAAATAATACACTATTTGCCATCAAATAGAACGGCAGCACTACTGTAAACCAGAAGACATCTAATAAATCAGTAAGAAATCGAGGATTTCCAGTAACATTTTTGACTCCTTTTAAGTTTCTCAGAATTCAGATCACATTTGACTGTCCTGTGACTTTAGGCTTACACATGGATGCAAGCCATCTACGTAACAATCCCAAAGAGTATCCTTTGGATATCATTCTCAAAAGCTAGCATGGACTGAAGACCTGTGGAAACTGAAAACATAATAGAACACACATTTAGATGTTTCTGTATTTCTTGAACGACATAACAATTAGCATTATTTCTGATTTGCAAAAGATTTTATCCATGCAAAATATACAACTTTTTCGTCACACATTTCCTCTTAACTCATTCTTCATGTGGGACCTTTCAAGGAGACTGGTAGTATTGCTGTGCGAAAGAACGAGATGCACAGTTTACCTGCATTTCACACATGTTTATTCAAACGTGGCAGACAATGATCACAATCACAAACTATTATTGCTCCCTGCAGAGACCAACATTCCTCCCAGTCAAATAATTCCATAAAAGCAAAAACAATTTCAAAGGCATGACCAGTGACAACACAAACCCTGTGGTGTCACCAAGCCAGTGGGCTAGATGAAATGGCAGCTGAATCACCATAGATACAGGTTTGCTGAAAGAGACCAACTTCTACAGTTCATTTAAATATTTTTTTCCTAAATGAGGACATGAGATTGGCTATAGCAAAATCATGCCTAAAAACTTTAAGAAGTGTCCATCCCGTCTCCAACACTGGCCATTAGCAGATGCCTAGGGAAAAAAAAAGCAATGACATGGCAAGAATTGCTCCAGAAGCTCTTCTAGCTTTCCATCACATTCAGAAAAAGCATCCTGACTCAGGAAGTGCGGATATTTGACATCATAATGAATTTTTATTTCATAAACTAGTCCTCACTTTCCCTGAAAGCAGACAGGTAAACTGAGGTTATCACTCAAACATCAAAGCCCTAGAATTCTGCTTCTCATTGCAACATTCAGCTCCGGGATGGTTACTTAAGTCAGATTTCTCTACACTGGGCAACAGTGTGGCAAAGGAAGTTTCACTAGCAGCCTCTGTTCTTGAATTCCTCAGTCCATCCTTGTTTTCATCATTCTGAACAACTGCCTGTCGTCAGCAACCTTCATCATTTCAGTGTTCACCCCTGTGCTGGATTGGTGTATATGGCAGGGGTTTTGATAGCCGGGGAGGGGGCTACAGCAGTGGCCCCTGTGAGAAGCTTCTCGAAGCTCTCCCAGCTCCAAGTCAGACCCGGCTCTGGCCAGGGCTGAGCCAATTAGTGACAGTGGCTGCGCCTCTGCAATAACACTTAAGAAGGGGAAACTGGGAGGAGGAGTGGGAGTTGTGAGGAGGTGTTGCAAGGAGGACACTTATGCAAACACTGAGGTCACTGGAAGAAAGGAGGAGGAAGGAGGGGGAAAGTGTGTCAATGTAAAGATACCCCCCGCTGTACCCTGTGGTGAGATGGCAGAGCTGCCCCACCCCACCACCCATGGAGGTCCATGGTGGAGCAGATGCTGACCTGAAGCCTGTGGAAGACCCCACACCACAGAAGCATCTGCACGCAAAGGAGGCAGGGACTCTGAGGGAAGAAGCCACACCTGCTGTTGTAGTTCAGCGCTGGAAGGACTGCAACATGCTCAGGTGACCCACAGCAGAGCAGCTCAGGAAATGCTGCAAACCATGGGAGAGGCTCATGTCAGAGAAAGTTTGTGGAAGACTGTCTCCTGTGAGAGAGGAACCATGAGGGAGTAGGGGAAGAATGCGAGGAGTTCCCCCCACTCTGAGGAGAAAGAAGCAGCAGCACTGACAGCACCCCCCATCCCCTGCACTGCTGGGGGGGTGGGAGGAGGTAAAGAAATTGGGAGCAAAGCTGAGCCTGGCAAGAAGGGAGGGGTGAGAGGAAGGTGTTTTTAATATGTAGTAATGCTTCTCACTGTCCTACTCTGTTAAGCATTGCTGCTGTTAGTGTCTGAATTAAATGTATGTTCTTTTTTCATCCCTCCCTGTCCTTATCTTGATTCCCAAGACTCTTGCTTTATTTTCTCCTTCCCAGCACTGGGGGCGGAAGAGGGGAGTGAGCAGCTTCGTGGTGCTCAGTTGCCCTCTGAGCTCAAACCATGACAACTCCTCTTTCCAAGATCACTGATGACCATGCAGAAGGCATTAATCTCATTACAGCACCCTGTGGAAGTCCAGCATCTGCCTCTGTCATTGCAAGGGGCAGTCATCCTCCACTTCCTGGCTTTTAACCAATCCTTGCAAGCACTGTATATTTTCCAACTATGGCCCAGTTTACTCAAATACTTTGAATAACATTCTTCAAAGATTTTTTTTGGAAATTAAAATAGACTGTATCAAGCAGCTGTCAACTTCAGAGCCTCCCTCTGGTGCATTCCTATCTATCTCATCCTATTTTTCCTCTTCTCCTTGCATCAGTCTTTTTCATGTCTCATCCTTTAATCTTCCCTCCACTTTTTGTACAACTCTATTTCAGAACATTTTCAGTTGGAAGAGTTCTTCTGTAAACTGAGGAGATACTTCTGTTTGTCATGACGCTGTCGTCTGCCAGCTCTAGACAACAGTTCTTGTATGAGGAAGCTACAAGGCACTATGCCAACAGAACTACGTTGGCAGACATTTAGACTAATCTGTGCAACCCACTAGCGTGGATATATGGTTGCATCACATTTAGTTTATTGCCATTTACTTAAACAAGCGTAAGCTTCTCTGCAAACACAGTTCTACTGGGGGGGGGAAGAAAAAAAAAAAAAAAAAAAAAACCAACCTGTACAGGCAGAAAAGCACTGAGAAAACACATTCCTTAAGAGCAAACAGCCTCCACTATTTTTTCACAACGCCTAATACAAGGTACCAATCTAGTATCCAGAGTTTCAAATACAGTACGTACCACAATCAATAATACTTAAATACATCACCACAGTATTTATTTTACAGTATCTCCCTAAAACTAAATATTTGGATATAGTACTCATATCGCTCAGCTTCCCACAAGGAATATGCAGCTGTCCTTCCCCGTTGTCATCATAAGTGCATTTAGAATTGTGAACAGCAGCTACACCTTGGCATGCAAGTGGCAAGCAGCATTCACTGGTATCACTCCTTGAAGAAGTCCCTGGGAAATATCAGTTCACCAGTTGGCAGCGCAAGGTTATAACAAACCTGGCTACAGCTGGTGTTACTTCAAGCCTCAGTGTCTAGGCAATTGCTTTGGGCTGAGACACTACTTGGAATCTAGGCCTCCTGATTTCAAGAAAAGGCTTATGAGTACCAATAAAGAGCTGCCTCCTCCTCTGTTCAAAAGCCAGCAGGCAAATAACCTCCTTATTTGTAAAATATTTTATGTCCCTGTTACTTAAACAGCTATAGCCAGTAGCACTATGTTATGGTCAAATACAGAGGTGCCCAGAGGCTTCACTTACAATGTTTTGCTGCTCTCTGTAAAAATAAAAAGAGGAAAAAGAAATAGTTATCTTATCTTTGCAGGGCTTTAAAGAGAACACATAGGAAGTTCATGCTACAAAAAGGAAGCAAAAGCACAGAAAAGAAAGCTACACTGCAAGACATCTAGAGGCTAAAGTTTAAAACCTCTTTCATGCAGGTAGATTAAGCTTGATTAGAAGCCTGCCTGCCATCACAA